ATTCGGTTTTTGGAATTTAAATAAGTTCTCAGCAAAAAAGTTTGTTTAATAAAATATTTAAAAAAATACACATGTGTACATAGTGCTTGAAAACATCAAATTTTCCCTTACCTTAAACCTTTGGGAGTGGGCAAAAATGATGTTTTGTAATTTAGGCAGAATTGAATATGCGCTATCTGGGAAGACNAAGTAAAACAACGACTTTAAGTTAACATCAACCGAGGCTATATGTAGACAAGGGATGCAAAATCACAGTTACACAAAAGAACTGGTCAGATTTTTCAGAAATCCCTTCAATTCTGATGTAAAATATGATGCCAAAAGACTGCAGATCTCCCATTTGGATGACCGGTCATATGACCGGCAGATGTCTCGTAGGATTCCCAGAGAGTTTTGCTTTACATAGAAATTTGTGCTCTTTTATTTTCATTTTGACTCACTTCAGTGTTGGTTCCTTTAATTCAAGTTGGCATTCGGTTTTTGGAATTTAAATAAGTTCTCAGCAAAAAAGTTTGTTTAAAAAAATATTTAAAAAATACATATGTGTACATAGTGCTTGAAAACATCAAATTTTCTCTTACCTTAAACCTTTGGGAGTGGGCAAAAATGATGTTTTGTAATTTAGGCAGAATTGAATATGCGCTATCTGGGAAGACAATATCTACATGTAATATTTATTCTGTTTGTTGGCATTATATCCAAACACAAACACATCTTAAGTGTCTTAACAGTGAAACAATTTCTTATTTTCTAAGTTTGCGAATAAAACTCCACACTTAAAATTAAGACATTTATAACAAACACTTTATGAAGAAAATCCCTTCTTCGTTTAAAATAAAAATAAGCGAAATCGGCCCAATTTCATACAACCCTGCCTGNTAAACGATTTTGGGTCGCTTAGTCAAAAATGGAAATATATATATACATATTTAAAATTTAAGAAAACAAGGCAAATAGCAAAATCGGCTAAAAACGGCTAATTTTTTTCTGCTAAACGGCTAACAAATCGGCTGCCGGCTAAATCGAAATTTCTCCGGCTGTTTGCTATCGCAACCGGCTAAATCTAGCCGGAAAACGGCTAAAATGGCAACACTGCTCCCTACGATTGTTCTACAACGAAAAAATTGGCCCACCTTTTCAATAAAATATGTATATCTATTTGTATCGAAAAATGAACATCAAAATTTCAAACTTTTTAAATGAAATTTCTAGAAATAATTCTGGAATGCACTTTATAGTCCATTTAGTATAATACTGTGAAAGTTTGAAATTGCTCGAAAATCTTGTTGACTTTTGAGAATTTATTTTGTTAGCGGTGTTGCTCATTTTCTCCCATATAAAAAAAGCTTTTGAACATACTTTTTATGAAAGAAATCGCTTAACATAGTCAGCAAATGAAATTCTCAAAAATCAACGAGACTCTTGAGCTAATTCAAACTTCCACAATATCATACTAAAATTGTACGGGCTATGAAACTGCATACACGAATTATTTCTATAAATTCAAAATTTTGAAGTCGGTTAAAAAAATTAGTATACTTTTTCGGTATAGAATAATCATAGGGGGTGATAGTATTTAAATTCCGACTTTAAGGTTTTTTTCTTACCACTCTAATGTACATGCATCTGTACATATCTCAATATCAAATATTAAACTCTCTAATTCGCTCTTTTCTAAGGACATCGCCGCGGGAAAAATAATGCATTCTCGAATGTGAAAACGGCTGTTTTACTGACTATTTTCTCGATCACCATAGCTTACATTTTCCCACTGGGGTTTTTTGATTCAAGTGGCTGATTCCATCTGATTTCGAAACGTAAGTATGTATATTAAAAATTACAATGGCACTTTCATTATTATATTTTTTCTTAACTTATTTTATTATTGAATATTAGAAGATATACATACATATGTACATATGTATGCTAGTACTTACCTTTGTAAGTATAGAATTTATCCACATCCACATTAGCAATCAAGGATGCGAGAGAAAAGGTAACTGTTAAATTGACAGCATCATTCGCTTCCGGTATCAAATGCAAATGACGACATATTGTTGTTAATCCTGCACCTTCATCCTCATCTAACTGCAGGTAAAACATAAAAAACAAAACAGATGTCAACAAAGCACTCTAACAGCAAATAAATTTAGAAAGCAAAAAGCAAACAGCATGATGAAATGCGAATTGCACCCTCAAACAATCAGTCAGATTTGCTTCTATGTTCTTCTTCACAATAACCACTCAATACGCGCGCATCAACTCACATTGAAAAAGAATCCCAGCACAGCAGCACCATCGGCAAATTCCAGCGCATCACCAAGTGTTGGATATTTCTTATTGCGATGCACAATATGCATTTCCATTGTATAACGGATGTCGTTGATCACATGCTCAGCGCCACGATTGTTCTTATCGCCCCAATGGAAGTGTACACTCTCCACTTCGAAATCGCCAGGTAGCTTAGCGCCACGCACGTATGGCATAAAATCGCCATTTGACTTCGCCTCCTCACTGAGCTTGGGTATATTGATAGCGACTGTGGATTAGAATG